TTAGTGATTCGTTGAGAATTAAGATGTTCAAGAATAAAAGCAATTTTGGCATAATACCCATCCTCAGTATTATGGGGCCTGCAAATCTTCATCCACTGCCTTTGCCAATGCAATTTTTCCTTTGAAATCTTAGAACTACTGCTTAAGAATCTTATGTATGTTACACATTTTTTAATGACCTTTTTTAAATTGTATTTTAGGTTCTGGGAACACCTACCAGAGAAGAGATTAAATGCATGAATCCAAACTACACCGAGTTCAAGTTTCCACAGATAAAAAGCCATCCTTGCCACAAGGTTTGTTCAATCACCATGGTCCCCATTAAACTTAAGAGCTATCGATAGCTCAAGACAGTGAGATTGATATATATGGCAATCCTCTTCTGCGTTACTGTGAAACCTTGATGCGTAAATCTTAATTGTTTAACACTTATGTGCATTGTCTTAGATTAGTTTACACATTAATGCAATGCACAGAAGGGCAAAGGCCAATATGATTCCCATCTGCTATCTAATGAAGCTAATATTCCGCAACCCCAAATGATTTTGAGCGTGACATCTGAATCTGATGCCTAGGAGTTAATTATTGTTCTTTTGTTCTAGGTTATCAGTTAGAATTTGAAAACCACCACTGTTCCGTGTTAACAATTTGTGAAATTACTGCCCTGGATGTTTCTGGTAACATTTAAAATCATGAATGCAAGTGAGCTTGCCAGCTTAAAAATATACTGTGTTTTTAAACTTGTGGAATTTAAAATTTCCCTGAATTTTTACTGGAGATTTATATTTTTCTCCACTTTTCTTGCTCGAATTTAATGTCATCCTATGTTGTTAAGGTGTTGGCATATTTTTTATTTTTCAATCGTCAGTTGCAGGTGCATGTGATTGTTGGTAAGCAACCCAATATCTGTTCCATAATATGACTTTATCCTTCATCTTTTACGTATTCCAGAAGTGTCTGCCTGCACAAGCAGTTCACTTCGTTTGTCATTTTTTTCAGTACTCACCAAATCTTAGATACACTGCTGTAAGTTAATCTTTCATTAGCAACTGATGAGATGTACAATTTTGAATTACTACAAAAAAATTCACCATCTGCATGTTGGTATTGCAGTTGGAAGCTTGTGTTCACCCTTTCTTTGATAAACTGAGGGACCCAAACACCCACCTTCCTAACGGTCGCCCTCTTCCTCCACTCTTTAATTTTAAATCTCAAGGTAAATTTAACTCAATTTTATGCAATATATGGCATAATATTGATATGATTGTCAAATAGGTTTTTTGGACCTTTTAATTTACTTATTTCTAAATGTTGGTCCATCTCATCTAAATAGTTTGCAACTCTGTGTCCACAAAACCCATCTTCCCACATCAACATCCTGTACCAAAACAAAAAATTAACAACCTAAATCCAAGAAACAAAATAAAAACATTACGCTCTGTTCTAGGAAAAGTCATATTAAACATTTACAAGCTACCATTTTCGTCTCTAACCTTGCATCCGTTGCCACCTCTAACTCTCTTGCAAGAATGGAGTAAAGAAATTATTTTTAATCAGGGATGGAAGAAAAATCAAGAAAAATAAAGAGGGTACATACAGGCGAGGACGAATGGTCTAGTAGACGGAGTAAGTCCAATCTATGTTTAAACAGACGCTTGTGAGGGCCTCATGAAGGGCCATCATCCTTGCTGCTTCTTTGCCCGTCTGATGCTGCTGAGCCCACTATTTTTCTCTCTATCTAAATCACTTGAACAACAATCAGAGTCAACATTGTTTCTAACAAAACCCAACCCTTTCTATATTACTTTATCTTCTTTATTACAGACAAAATAGAAACATAATGTTGCATATATTTAACATGCTTGACATTGAGATGGTTTCTTTATGTGATGTACCCTTATTATATATTGCATATATTTAACATGCTTGAGATTGAGATAGTTGCTTTATGTGATGTACCCTTATTATGTTATCTATAATTATACTGAAGCAACATTGCAGTCGACTCCCTTGCTTCTTTCCTTCGCTATTTTTCTAATTATTTTATCTACTTGTTTAAGCTAATTTCAGGACTTGATTTAACAGGTTAGTAGGCACTGGGATTTTTAGGATAGTAAGTGCTTCTATACAGTTTCTGTTGATGGTGCCAAGCAAGATTTTTCCTACCGTAAATGTGTGGACAATATCCTCAAGGAAAAGTATCCCGACCAGGCCAAAACTTTTATTCCCAAGTATTATAGAAGGCAGCAAACTCACATAGGCTGAAATAAGGATCGTGGTTCTGCCTCAGGTGAAGCTAGAACTCCTGGCTGGAAACAGGATTGTGCGCCTGTTCCAGGTGAAGCTGAAACTCCACGCTGGGGTCCGGATTGTACTCCAGTTCTAGAAGAAGCTGAACTTTGGCTGCGGACGTATCTGGAACTCAAGGCTGGAAAACATACCGTCGAGATGAAGCTAGAACTCCAGGCTGGAACACAGAACGTACTCCAGCTGCAGACAAATCTGAAACTCAAGGCTGAAACAATGAAGCTGGAGCTTTAGGTTAGAACAAGGATCCTACTCGGGCTCTAGATGAAGTTCAGCAATCTTCCCCATCGGATTCTCATGGACATCCTCAATCCAAACCTAAACATAACCCTGAAGGTAATTTATCGTTTTCTTTACATTTTCTAAAGAAATTAGATGTAAGATACCTAATTCTTGTTTTGCTCTTTCATTTAGGTTAAATGGAATGAAAGGGATGGAACTGTTTTTAAGAAAACTTTGAATTGCTGAGAGTAAACTTAAATCTAGGAAAAATGAAAACAATACTTTTTTATTTTATTTTAGTTTATAGTATTGAAGATTCAACCTTAGGCTTAAATAATAGGAATTCTATAGTTCAATTGTTAAATTCTCCTTATTCTTCATATTGGGTTGGGGGCTGAGGTTGAAATTTGTCTATTATGATTTGTTGAGTGTATTTTATTGTTATTAGGGGATGAATAATTTCTGGAGGATGAGAGCACTAAGATATTCGCAAAAAAGGTGGCTAATCATTATAGCGCAAGGAGCAATCGGACGTTGGAAGAGCAAGAAGAAACCTTGATTATTCATCTTTAAAAAAATGAACAACTAGGTACATATTCAGATATGATTATCCTATTGATATTTTATTTTTCAAATTCTTTGATATGTAAACTTATAATCAAAATAGTTAATGACGATGCAGTTAAATTGCTCCTAACAAGTTTTATAACTTCTTGCTCTAATCATCAGATAAAGAGTATTTTAATTCAGTTATATATGTGAAAAGAGGATATGCAGTTCTTCATGTTCTTCATCTCGCTTGTTGAAAGGTAGTGTATGCGTGGGATTTTTTAGTGTTTACCATGTGCTTGTGTAGTAATTTAGCATCTTTGGTATTTTTTATATACTGTTGTCAAAGCCTGTCTATCAAGATGCAGTCTTGATTATAGGTGCTTTTTTGTGTGTATTGTTTGCAACAAAATCAGTAGTACTACCAAATTGTTTACTCGCCTCAATAAATCACTAGAGTTCATCACTAACATATGGTCCAAGTGTTCTAGGCTAAGTACATGACAATTTTATGGATTCCATGGTTCTACAAGTTCTCAATATCATTTGAGTGATGGGTATTCTCTTTTGTTGTGACAGTTATTCAAGGTACTTGTTCATTTTTTTACTCTAACACAACCTTCAAAAATATCGCAGCCCGTGCATTGCACGGGCTTTGACTAGTAATCTATAAAAGTTTCTCAAAATTTGAAAAATCAACTATCAGATAGTTTTATTTAGGGTCGACCTTATCTAAAGGTAGATCTTCCTTCAACTTCCAGTGCCTAAAACTAGTCCTTCTGTTTTGTCTGGAAAATCCCTTATTTGGTTGAGTAGCTATGTATGGCTTAAAAGGAACTTACCTTGTGAATGGATGCTAGAAGACGTAATTTTGCTTGTATGTCACGTCAAAAGATCGAATTTAAAACCTTGGGCTCTGATACCATAATTGTAATCCCCCAAATCTTTCATAATTGTAATCTCCTAGCCTCGTCTCTTACTTAGAATTTATGTATAGAAATTTCAGAAATTTTGAAATTTGAGATAAAACATATATTTATTTTATTGTTTTCTTAAACATCGACCTTTGAGAGGTGTATATATATATAACAAAACATGTTATCGACTAGGCAAAAGTTGCATTACAAAAGTTGTGTTACGTACCGTACATAACTAAACTATTTGTACATTTATATTACATAAAGATTACATAGACATGTTTATTCCCCAGGAAAACTAACTGTAAATAGGTACATCATAGTAGCCGCCTCGAAGTAGTCCATGTAATAGTGGGAGCCCACGAAACGATGGAACCTTGGAAATTCTGGATATGTTATCCATGTGTGGACTTCCTTAACATACATGCAATACTTGCCGAATATTGAATATTGAATCCAATGCAAAGTCAATGGGTAGAATATTGAATCTATAATCAACTTTAAAAAAATAGTTATTCAATAAACATAATTATAATATATGCTTGGAAATAGAAATGGACATAGATTACTCACCTTCAAATTGCAATGCTTTCTTTAGTAAGTTACTTTTGTTTTTAATTTGTTGTGTGTTTCTTTTCTCTCTTTCTCCCCTATTTATAGTGGTAATTAGAAATTTACTTAATAGTTTATTTATTTTTGCTTAATCATTACTTTGCTACCTTAAACCCTATTATGCCATTTGTCACTTAAGTATTTAGTGTGGCAAGATGTTATGTATAGGGTAGCCACCTTATACCCTCTATATTTCCACATGGTAATTATCCAATTAATTATAGTATTATTAACATAACTTTTTACTATATTACATGAAATGTTCATCACAATAAAAAGTATAAATATGGAATAATCGTTATTTTTTCTAAATATTTTGGGATATTACAATTAAATTGTTCAATATCCAAAAATGTGCTTTTGATGTCAAGAATGTAAGATTAAAAAGTTATATTACATAGTCCATCGTTCTCCTAGCACAAATAAATCTAACCTAGCATGGTATGAAGAAGAAAACACAAAGAATATTGAAGAATCGACATCACCCAATATAATTCTTGAATTTATTCTCGTGCTCTTGGCTTTGATATTCGTGTTCTTCGCTTGTTCTTTGCTCCAAAAAATCTTCAAAATATATTGTAATGCGTGGTCTTTACTTCTGGACGGTCCTAGGGTTTTAAAAGGTACCCAAGACTCATTTCCATAAGAGTTGTATTTAAATTAGGAAGCCATAAAATTTTCCCCCATTTGACCTGGACGGCGCCCAGTAGAAAATGGAGCGGCCACCCAGGCATAAAATTTTGCTCCTGTTGTTGAAGGGCGGTTGCCCAATTATAAAAATTTCGCGAATTTTCCTTTCAGTCATTTTCTACATTCTTTCTTCCATCTTGGTCCTCCACATCAAAATACTTCAATTTTAGTACTCCAACTTTTACTCAAATGCATATTAGTCCCCAAACTTTGTATTTGAAACAATTGAGTCCTTTTCCGCTATCTTTGCATTATTTTCTCCAATTATTCATTAAACATTAAGTTTTACATACAAAATCAAATATAACACAAGTTAGGTAGTATTTTATCCAAAGAATGGTAAAATATCATCATTTAGGATCTCGAATAAGTGTAGAAACTACACTTATCACTTACATCTCAATGATGAAATTACAACAAATGAAATGAAAATTCTTCGTCGAGAACATATAATTGTAGGAAAGAGATGCTTCGATTTCCAACCTTGAATCTTCGATCTCTTGATATTATTTGCCTTCAATCTCTTCATAACCTTATTCTCCATGCTTTAGAACGAAGAATCTAGAAATTGGAGGCCCAAAATAGATTAAATTGTCAGCCAAATTGTTTTCCAAAACTTGGTGAAAAGAAATTTTTCCCAAGAATTAAAATCATACGATCGCATTCACATGTGAAGAACTACTTTTACCAAACATAGCCTTGCAATTACAATTTCAATTTGATAATAGTGTTCAATTCATACTTATTTTTCAAGAGAGTTGGAAACTCACAGAAGAAAGAGCACGATAATCATGGTCTCGGTAATGCCACAAGTCGAGTTGCTCGTGGCATAGTGAGACCAAATACTTCGTCCATGTCGAGTTCATTCTGTTTCATACCATTGGGCAATTCTTATGTGAAACAATTAAGCAAATGTGCCAGCACCATATCCAATTCACAAAGTGCGAGTTGCATTCTTGGGTAGGACTTATCATCTAACCTGAACGGTATGAATTCAAAGCTGTTTAACTTGAAATCTGGTACACTATCTTTTGTAAACATGCTGGCTTGAAGGAAGCATGATCATAACAAACATGATTAATATTGTTTCTAACAATTAATTTTGAGTTATGATAGTTCAATATTAAAATCAATCAAGTATTGACAAAATCAACATATAAATGGGACTCGAAATGAAGATTAAATTGGAAGTTAAGCATTCAAGTCAAATCATTTGAGATGAGAGCTTAAAAAATCAAAATCAAGACTGTCAAATCGGACTCATGAAGAAGGTCGAGATTGAAATCAAGCATTAAAGTCGAACGTCAAGAAAGATTAAGATCAAGAGTTTAAGAGCCAGGAAGAAACTTTGAAGCAAGATCAAGGACTAGGCTTTCAAGATCATACGTAAAGGTATAATACTTTGATTTTCAGTAATGAATGATAATAGTTCAAAAATCATTTTGTGCACGAAAAGTTAATTTCATATTACTTGCATAAAATATTTTTGATCAAAAGTAAGATTGATCTTTCAAAGTGATACTTGAACTTAGTTCATATTTCTTTAAAAAAAAAGTCAAAGCCAAAGTCAACCGAACGTCCAGTTCGCCAATGGTCATTTTTTTAATCATTCTGGTTTCTGACGCACAACAGCTAGTTTAGTCATTCGGTCAGTGGCGAACGTCCAGTATGGTCACCCGGTTGGGAATATTTTTTTTTTTTTGCATTTTGACTGTTATAAATACCACTTCACTATGCATTCATTAAACAACCAGAAGAGAGCTTTCTTGTGAAATATATCTGTAAAATATCTTCTTTGATCTTATATTTTTACATTTATTTCATTTATTTCTTCATAACAAAAACTTTGATTGTTGAATCAGAACTTCTTGAATCATTTCTTTCATCAAAGTTTTTCATTTCTCTTTGTACTTAACTTATTTATATCAATCTTAAAAGAGAGATATATTTTTGAAAAAGATCTTTGCATTTAAATTGCATAAACTTTTTTACTTCTTCATATTGAAAACTTTGATTGATTGAATCAAATTTGTAAAATCATCATACTCATCAAAGTTTCTCATTTCTCTCTTAGTACTTAATTTATTACAATTATTCATTAAAATAGATACATATTTTGAAAATATTTTTTTTGAACCTACGTTGCATTTATTTTCATCTTCTCATTGAAACACTTTGATTGATTGAATCTAAATTTTGATTATCATATTCATCAAAACTTTTCATCTAACACTTGAACTATCA